GTAAGCGTTCACTAAATGGCCAAGCCATGAACAAATCGCTCAAGGACTTTTTCTACTTCAGATGGAAAGCATTGAATTAAAGTTTCAACTCTGATGATGCGTGAAAAACGACGGGAAGGCGGTGCTTGGTTCTGTCGATGACCTGATCTCGCAGCTGGTGGTCAGTATGCATTGGATAAGCGAGAAGAAGAACTTTTGTCTCACTAAATATCTGCCTGCCACTTTTGACTCATCACACTCTAACCCCAAGACGGCTGCAGCTATGTAGTACGCTAGGATTTTGTGTAATTATTGTTCATCATAATTATCATAGTTTTTTTTCGATTTGCTGATAATTTTTTCGATGAAAGCCTTTCACTCCCAAGGCAGTGCCATTCGCAATTCTTATCAACTTTAGTCTAAGAGACTTCTTGATCTCATCCTGCCATCGATATGGAGGTGTTCCAACTGTTGCTCGATTGCTCTCCCTTGGAACTCATTCTAATGTCTGTGGTCCAGCGATGGTTGGTTCATCTTGCAGTATGTTCCGTCCATTGCCATGCAGTGAAGTGGCGGATGCCTGTTTTTGCTCTCACTCATTCATTAACTTTCCTGCTTATTCTTATTATTCTCAGCATCAATCCAACGATTGTTATAACTTAACGGAAATTGTGCTTAATATATCTTCCAGATCTATTTCATTCTGTTAGTTATCGTTTGTCGTTTGCGGTCATTCAAGCCTTAAAGTGACATTTAATCAAACAGGAACCCACAATCTAGCAGTCATTGGAAAGTTTATCCATGTTTAAGTCCAGGCTTCTAGGAAAGAACGAATATTCCTATGAGATTATTTTAGCAGGAAGAAGGGTTGAAGTCAACCAATGCTTTCGGACGCCAATCATTAGACGACAAAGAGTAAGGTGAGATGTGAAGCCACAGGGTAGAAAACAAGTTCCAAAATACAGTGGTTGGAACAGGACAAAAGTAACTTGCCGAAGGAGCGCAGCGAAACATGCATGTATGTCAGTGAGTTTTAATATTTCATATAAATCAGTGCAAATTATAATCTACGCTTCAGTTTACATATGTGATATTCAAAGGGTGCAGCTATTATTAAAGTGCTTATGATAATATGCTTAATCTGATAATACTACTCAAGGTCGTGGGTGTACTTAAAAAGAATCTTCAAAGATATTTAGGTTCTGAATTATGGTTCAATAATGCTATTTGTATCAATCGATTTTTAAGGCTACTTATTATTTAAATTGTTTATTGCTGTTCCAGGACAAGTCCTGATTTTCTTTTCATATTCAGTTCAAGGCCAGATTTCGCGACATATTACACCTTACTGATAGTCGCCAATGGTCATATTTTGTCATTCCATGGTTCCATGGTATTTAAGCACCTGAAGCGCCAGATGCATTTCCAATCATTTTGTTCGGTAGAGTCACTTCAAGCTCATTGCGAATGATATTTCAGTAGTTGGTAATATGGGTCCTTTTATGTTTGATATAAACATCAAAGCATGTTCATACGCCAGAGCATGCCGGATGACGTATAATTCCTTTAAGGCCATATATCAGTTGTTTACATAGTGCAGTTATGTTTAACGTTCTGCGTTATGTACTAGTTTCTGTTCGCTCTTGGACTAAATAGTTTTATTGAAACATATCGCTTTATTTGCTTTGTTGCCGCAGTTATTCATGGCTCGTGATATGTCATTTGATTTTTATTTAATATTTTAAACGACCACGTAAATCTTACTGTTTAGATTTCTACCGGTGTTATGTAGTTTGTTAATCGTGTCACGGTTTTATGAGATGTCTAGAAGAACACTTGGAGTGCGACTCCGGATCTGGTGAAAGCGAACCTTTGTAGCATTCGCGTGAATCTGCAGAACTCCCCATCGTCGTTGAACAGCTTCGATATTCGTTATCCGCACGAAAAGACTTTGAGTAAGAATGCTTTTCGATCCTAATATTCCATGAAACGTTTGCGATTTATAATGTCTGAATTTTACACCCGTTGTAATAGTTGTGTTAAGTGGTTCCTTTTTGAACTGAAGCTTCGTACGATGGTTTTCTTACGATACATTGTTTATATGCACAAAGGAGATTCACCGACATTATTTATTCTGTTTATTGCTGTACAACCCGGTGTAAGAATTCCTTCTGTTGTACACTGCCTCAATGTCGGGGCAACGTAACAAATGATTTTTTTTGCTGTACATGGTAAGTTTTCGCGATGTGATTCTAGGATCAGTATTGGTAATATCATATTTACCGACTTTATCCAAAGCTCCTACTCGTGGAAGTAACCTCGGAATATGAGGGCTATGCATTGTTTCATTTTTATTCTGTATTCTAATTATTTTGAGTCCGTTGAATCAAACTCAGGTTGACATTTGATTAGTGTGTCTTTTGTTCCTATAAATATTGAATCAATAAACTTTCTTATTTTTCAACGAATCAGCATTCAAGGATTTATGCTTGAATACATATACGGTACATGCAACATGCTGATATGCAACAAATTCCATTAATAAGTACATTTGGTTCCATCCTGGTGTCAACAGCCGGTAGGAAGAGCTCCAGATCGATGGTAGAATGAGCAGTAAAAGCTCGCTGACTAAAGATGGTGAGAAATGACACAAAACGGAAATCTGGCGCTGCCTTGGAAAGGTTTTCATCCTACACAAAATTTGATGAATGATTGAATTATCATATAACAGATTTTCGATGATGTTCACTGACTTTTGCTAAAATTTTGGAATTCTTAACTTTAATGGGTCGTCTTAATGTTGGTGTAAGGCGAACGGCGAGATGGAGCTATAGCGAGATTCGAAGTTAACGAAATTCTCAAATTTGCTCGCAACCACAATCCTTTTGTTCATTCATAGCATCCTGAAACTTATTCCATTACCGTCACAGTCGAAGTCTGAGTGTTTACAGATTCCACATATTGTTTCGCAGCTAACTCAAATGTGAATTTGCTATTATTCTCTGAAAGCACGGAACTCCTTCAAAATCTTTCGAAGTTGCATTAGCAAGGGACCGAACTGATGTCAATAAATATATATGTCAAATTTAAAATGAAGCAACAATTAACTAACGGTTGAACTTAATCTTCTAAGAGCAATAAAATGTTAAATACAGATCAATGGTCTTAACAATGATAGGCAGCCTACAGAATAGCTGCACTTAGAGTTTTAATGGCAACGAGCTTTTCTGGTAAAATCAAACTTCTTGAGATGCAACGACGGGAGGTCAAGTGACAAATGTCAGTCTCACGTCGAAGTGATTGAAAAGCAGTGCGAAATATATTGTGCAATAGACTTTGTAAACTTTTTTCATTTTTGCATCAAATAAAAAAATTTCATTTAAAAATAAAATATTTCATCAATAGGCATCGATATTTGCAATGCATTATGCATGGAAAGACATTGTTGTAATGTAGATAAGAATATTGCTCGAGCTGTTTATCACCCACAGGAGGAAAATTATTGAAGCACTTAAATGGAAAGTGATGCATAGGATTTTTTCCCTCAGAACAGGTGAAGATCAATTTTTCGTCGCAGCAACAACGGCACTGAAATGATTGGGACAGGACATTTTTCGTCCTATCAACCATGGAATCAAAAAAATTTACCTTCAGTTTCATCTTAGAAACTTTAAATGTACTAATGAGAGGAAGACGAATAGATGCCGTTTATAGGAAAGTAATTGCCGAGACCCGCTATATGGAATCGCTTAATTCTGGTTAGTTAGAAAAATGCGATTAGACAAATGGCGTGTTGGAGTGCCGCTACTTTGTTGGAGAGCGGATAGCTCCGTCTTGTAATTAGAATTATCTTAACTGATATTGATTTAAATGCTTTCACTTCGCAAATATCACAAATAATCGGGTTTGGCGACAAATAATAGTAGAAACAATTGCAATTTGTAATGGGCGAGAGAGTGATACTATATCACATTGACCGTTTAATTCTGTACCCGCGATTGATGAAATCTGCAAATCTTTCTACAGTATATCGCGGGAACTGTAAACCGAGCATATTGGTGCACATAGGTGACCATGGGTTGCTGCCTAAAGACTTTCCTTCTCTTATGTTCGGCAATGTGTTTAGAAACGGTCGATTCAGTTGGATCACTAGAAATATCTCGATGTCAATCGTTTTGCCTCGGAAAGGTTAGTAGCTGGTGGTTCTGTTAAATTCATTGGAACAGATGACTGTACGATTTACGCAATTTACCCCGTTTGAGATTGGTTGCAGTTGTAGCGTAAAAGTAACCGTCAGATTATGTTTTGCCAGCTGTTATTGTTTCTTGTGATTGAAGAATATTTAAAAGTATGGCAAGTTGCTCATGCTTGGTTTAGGAGGTTAGTGTTTCTTCTATGGTAAACCTCGTTCATGTGTATGGCTATTGAACTGTGTTTCAGTTGAATCGTTACCTTTCCACTTAATTTGCACAGTTCTGGTTTTTAAGCTTTGCTGAAAAGTAATATAGTTTTGGTTGTGTTGTTCCAGTGGTAAACTTTGAACTTTAACTAGACTTTCTAGTCCAAATTTGACAACCTGGCACTTGAATCCGTTTCCTGCCCATTCAGCGCTGTTATTCCTTTGTCGACCTCCGTGATTCTTATCGACTGGCTATCAGGTCTTATGTCTGGTCAGGTTGACTACTGCTGCATGAATGATCCTGTTTGTATCACCACATATAGAGATGTCCGGCGTTGGAGTATGTCATTCGGGTTTTGTCCAAGGCCGATCCATTGATTCCATGTTGAATCAACGGCTAATTTTGAATCAGCTACTTCAAATGTTACCTTTGTTACTTCAAAGCTGTAATTAGACTTTAACAACTAACAGCTCTACAATGTGTGAACCTTTCGATTCTAATACCGCCTGTTCGATTGCCGAATTTTTCATTCACATTTCAATGGGGCAAATTTTAAGTGTCTTTCAGTAAATCAGTGCGTTTCACTAAGCGGTCGAATATTAGCCTCTGTGACCTTTGACCTTAATTACTGACCTGTGACTGAAGAGTTTCTACCGACCCAGGCGATTTTGGCATGAACGAAACCTCAGCATATCCTTTTCCGGTGAAACACTGCCAATATCAGTCTATCATCCGAAGCGTTCATCTGACTTGGTCAATATATCGTCACCAAAAACAGTTGCCTTTTCCGGTAAGCTCAGTGGTCAGATGCCACAACATTATGCATTGTGATTCGTCACGTTGACTTACGTATGATACGTGATTCTGTAAATAAGTCGACAATAAAGGAACACAAAGGCTATTTGCCACAATGCTGGATTAGCACTTTAACCAATAGGATGAGCTATAAAATATCCTGTCGTATTCATAATTATCGCCAGCCAAGTGTAGCCAGCGGCCATTAAGACTATTGTATCAACAAATTTCAACCTTTGGCAGCATCAAACCGACCCGTAACCGGACGGTCCGCTCAAGCAGTCTGTTTCGCTGTGTTCCATGATCAGGTCTTTGGAAAGCGAAGACGGGACTCCACTGCGATTATATTCAGCCGCTGCAATTTTATTGTGCCAGAGCCTTAGGTAGCTTCGTCTCCATATAGGTAGACTCTTCGATGTAGATTAGATCAGCAATGAAGGGTAACCTAATGAGTTCGTTGATAAAAACGTTTGAAGCTTTAGTACTTAAGAGAATCATGGAATGACGCCATTTTCCAAGAGATGCAAAGTAGTATGGAGAATGCATAAAACGACCTTTGTTCGGCTCTTCTTAGTCATGTGGCTTTGCATCCATGCGCTATAGGTGTTTAAATACCATGGAGCAGTGACCTGCCTCAATGGTCTCCTAGGCCGCTAGAAGCAAGGGATGGTGCCTATACGTCATTTAAATCCGGTAGTAAAAGAGAAATATTTCTTAACGGTGGCATTCTAACAGTATGCTAGCAAACCGATAATATCAGGGTCTATTCTATTTTTATTTATAACTAAAGCATCACTGTAGCAGAATATTCCGTCTCATTACGAGTTAAACGTTATCACAACTTAGCACTTATCAATATTATATCTGTTTCAGTTGATAAGAAAGGACAAGAAGTAACCGAAAAACAGTAAATAGAAAAAGCAAAAACAGAATACGTAGAGAAATAAAAAAATAATTCAAAGTAGTTGTGACAATGCAAACATGAAGGGACAGTTGTGAGGGTCTCAGAGGATAATTCACGCTGAAACTGAGATGTTCCATCTGCCTTAGAGCTCGATCAGTCGTAATACTGTAATATACTGAGACTTGGTAGCGAACAATCGTTTGAACGATTGTTTAGTAGAAGCATCGCGAGGTTTCCATAAAGGGCTCGTTGCTGTTGCTGAGGATATCATTATCCATGCAGATGACGATTTATTACATTGCAATGTAATATCAATTCTCTGGCTTTACTTGGTGTAGTCGCATTGTGTCGTATCTTTTAGCATCCTAGGGTTCCCTTGAAGCGGGACACCGATCTACTGTGGTATATCACCTGCAATGCATGAACGCAAAACAGCTTCATCGTGTTTTGTCAAACAAAACATGTTCTAATAGTAATCGATGTAGTTCGATCCGTATGCGGCTTGCATCCGTGCGTTGCTGGTTATCTGATATCATGAAGCTTGGCCTGGTGATACTGTCGCTTACACTGTTAGAAGTAAAGGGAGGTTGTGTCATACTATGTCCCAAACGTTCCTAATTTTGCGATAGCGGCTGAGATTCGGCCAAAGATAACTTATGTCTGAGTCAAAGCCCGCTGAAACACTTGCATAGGGTCATTGCTGGTCTTCCTTGAGATCTTCGGACAGTCAAACAAGTAAGCAGTAGTTCTATCGCTTTTCTTTCTGGAAGGATTTACAAAGCATGACCAAACCATCTCAACTGTAACTTCTCAATCTGAAGCAACAGCGAATCACTCAGA